TGTGTGTGTGTGTGTGTGTGTGTGTGTGTGTGTGTGTGTGTGTGTGTGTGTGTGTGTGTGTGTGTTTGTCCTCCATTTGGCCCACTGTCCCGCAATTTGCCTGTCTGCCTGCATGCCTCTACATGCACTGTATGTGTCCCTGTTTGACTGCCTGAACGACGATAAAGTGCAGTTTAATTGCCCGTCAGCAGAGCTCCCCCCAATCAATAAACGAGATGAAATGATGCACACATACATAGTGTGGCGCTGGATACAGTGCACAGTGGGGAGGAGGAGTGGGGAGATGTGTAATGTAAGGCGCTCCGCTTCGCACGCCAAGAACCACAACCACACACACAACGGCACCAGCCACAATTTATTTTACCCACAGTTCGAGAGTGGGAATTTCAATTTTGCCAACTCCACGACCTGGTTGTTGGTTGCCAAGACGTTGGAGCTGTGGCAGACACAAGCGCCCACAAGCACAAGCACCCACCACATACACACAAGACACGAGTAGTGCTGCTGCTGGCTGGTGTCACGCAAGCGCAGTCGCGAGCCACACACCGCACCGCCGCCATGACATCCATTCTGTGTCAGTGGCTGAACGAGGATGTCCACCTTTCCTCCACAATCGGTGGGAATCATGGAATGCTGTGGGTGGTGCGGGCGGGAGGGGTGTTACTTGAACGACATGAGCAGCACAAAAGCAGAGACATATCCACGCACCCCAACACATCAAGTACACACACACACACGCACACACACACACACACGCACACACACACACACACGCACACACACACACACACACACACACACACACACACACACACTGTTGACGCTCCATTTGCGCGATTCACATCCTCGTACGTTGCTGTGCACTTGTTGTTGGGTACAGACGCTGACCGCTTCGCAGAGCAGTTCTCAAATGGCTACCTGTTTGCAGAGTTGTTGACCAAGCACAACCTACCATGTGACGTGCGCACCTTCTCCAAGTCAAAGTACGCAACGAGCGCTTGCCATGTCGTGCACTTGTATGTGTTGTGTGTGTGTGTGTGTCTGTGTGTCTGTGTGTCTGTGGGTGTGTGTGGGTGCGTGTGCGTGTGCTCTGTGTGTGTGTGTGTGTGTGTGTGTGTGTGTGTGTGTGTGTGTGTGTGCGTGGGTCTGTGGGTGTGTTGTGAGCTTTGTGTATGTTGTGTCTGTGTGCCTATGTCTCTTTTTTGTGAGTTGTACGGTCTCGTCCAATTGCGTGATGTTACTTTCATACACTGCGCATATTCTCATTCCCTGGCCCAACACTTTGGTCGATGCAGGTCTGCAGAGGCCAAGCTCAACAACTTCTTGAAGCTGGAGCCAAGCTTTCGCGCCCTTCGCATCCCCTTTGACGCCAACATGGTGCGAGCGACCGTCTCACTTGCTCTGCTGTAATTATTTCGATCTCTGTCCACAACGCAGTTCCTTTTCGAGCGACAATGAGCACACGCATGAACGCAGTCAGAACCACACGCGTGCGCACACGAGCGCACGCGGACACTCAGTTGCTCTCTTTCTCTTCCCTTCCTCTGCTTCCCTTCTTCTCTTCGAATGAATCCACATGAATAACCACACTGACCTTTGTGTGCTAACACCTTCACATCCACCTCATTCACACACAAACACACACACACACACTCACACACACTCACACACGCACACACACCAGGCGCGGGACATCATGGAGGGCAAGCATGGCGTGGCCAGTCGCCTCGCGTATCAGCTCTTTGTTCAACTCAGCCAGTTCAAGTCGGGGGTGAGTGTAGTGTGTGTGTGTGTGTGTGTGTGTGTGTGTGTGTCTGTGTGTGTGTCTGTGTGTGTGTGTCTG